AGTGAGGCTGAAGGGCAAGGCCAGGGAGAAGGCTGAGGAAGGAGCCAGTTCTTCCTCTTTCCCAGTGCCCTGCAGGAGCAGATGCAGGTTTGTGAGGCCCAGAAATGACACAACATGGGGGCAGACTTTATGAAAGAATGTGTAAATACATTGCTAAGACTCCTCAGAGCAGGTTGCAAGGGGCCATGAAAGTGAAACACTTAGTTTCCCAGTAAATGCACGCTATGCCTCTGGGTTCAAGGTAAAGTTCTGAAAAATAAACTTTGTGAAATAAAGAAAGTTGAGACTGTTTTAAGAATTTCTATTACTAGTATTAACTTTGAGCCCTGCTGACCTGGGTTCATACAAGGGAATCAATTCTACTATTACATGTGCTGGATTTTCTTATTTTTRTAACCAATTTCACCTGACCCTTTCAACACTGTGTGAAAGAGAAAGGGCAGCTATTTTATTTTCTCTTAGCTTCATCCCATGAAGATGAACTGATTGCCTACCTGCCTGCTATTGTGTTGTGTCTGGGATAGAACCAGGAAAAGGGCCTATGAAGAGGACAGAGTATGGGGATCAGGCACACGGTTTGGTCCTGACTGTCCTCCCAAGTTTCCAAGCATCTTTGGGTTGTTTTGCCAAATCTAAATTTTGAGGCAAGGAAACCTGAGGCCCAGAGAGGGTAGTCCAGGCAAAGTGTAGCCAAGGCCAAGGTCAAAGAGCCAGGAACAACAGGGAAGTGGAGCAGCTCAGACTTATTATGAATCAACTACGGGTTAGGAGCTCTCTACCAGACAGCCACAGAAATCATCTCATTTAACGTTCAACCATCCTCAGGGTAGCTAATCTCCACATTTTAGGTAAATAGAGCACCAGAAATAATCAAAACTTACCAAAGGTTCATATTTAATGAGGGATAGAGCCTTCATTTGTTACCAAAACAATCTTTACACAGGGCTCAAAACTCTTTCTTTTTACCAGTATTTTCCCATCTTCAATGATTCACAAATTATTCTCACAAACTTTACCATATCCACGTAAGATRATGTTTTCTTTAATTATCTTTTTTCCTATTTAACATCCTTTTAAGTAACAATATCTATGAAACTACAGTCTAAGTTGGAATTCACAGATATCATCCATGCACTGCCTGAAATCATCTCAGCTATCACTCAGAACTCACTCAAAAAAACATTCATCTTTGTTGATCTCTATCTCACAGGACCAGAATCTAGACATTTCTAGGGTTTCTGAAAATTAATCCATTTTTTTTTATTTCCTTGGAGCTGCAGTCATGACAGGCATTTAAGAAGAATGAATTCTTCTTACACTGACTCCCAGACATCAATGGTTCACGCCTCAACCTTGTGGTTATTCTCTGGTTCAGAAATAGGATGACCAAAAAGTTCACCAAAAAGTTCTAGTAATAGGAAAACTAGGTTAGCCACCTCTGTTAGCCTCCTTCCTTGGGCTTCTCATGAGTACAACTTCCGGAACAATTAGAAGATTCATCTATGAATTAATTCTTCAAAACTGGAGGCCTTCCCAAATGGAAGATTATCACAACAGCACATGATAGCACTGTAGAAGGAGAACTGCATGGGCAACAGGGGTGTGCAAACTCGGAGAAGTCACCTCACCTTTCAGGATCGGARCATTCGCCACAACAGAAGTTTTACATTGTTTTGTACATCTCTCTATCTCAGCACCTTGAACAGTGATTGGCATGGATGAATGATTGAATCAATCAACCCATTTATCTATGAATGAATTAAACAGCCTTAAAGTCTCTTTCAAAAGATGGAAATTAAAAGGATGTTCTAGTTCAGGAAACCATGAGATTAGAAGAGAGTATTTGACTAGAGACTTCCATATCCACAACTTATCTGTGGATAGTACACTGGATTCAGTACATGTATGTTGAAGAAAAGGTAAATCCTCCAAAAACAGGACCCAGTGACACCAACAAGAAAAGCTGGTAGTAACAAGAAAAGCTGGTAGTTCTCTAAGATTCTAGGGGTATTGTCTGAAGGGTTTGATAATCTCTAGGCAACTGATCCAATCCTCAAACCTTGGTCCTATAGTAATCAATGACTTGAATGAGAACAAAGAGAGTTATTCATCATATTCCTAGACAACAGGACACAAGCAGCAACAGATGTAACACATGGAAAAATCAGAATGTAAAATAGTTGAGGTAGGATTAGATGGCACAGAGAATCTAAAAATGGAAATTAGAAAAGATACATATTCTTCCTTTAGTTCAAAAAGTCAACCGCACRATTTAGAAAAGGAGAACAAGCCACTTGCCATTCTGTATTTAAAAGAATCTGCCATTTTGGTTGGCCACACATGGGTTATGAGTCAATGGGTACGGTGAATGCCAAAGAGCCTAATGCAATCTCAGATTGCGTGAACAGAAGCAAAGCACTTAGAACAAGGGAGCCAAAAGTCCCTTTCTCTTCCACACCAGAATACTTTTGTAATTTCTGGTAAACTTTAAGAAGGAGATAAACACAATGGAGACATCATCAGAGAACAGGCAGAGATTTGGGAGGAAAAGCATTCCAAAAAAGGAATGGAGGACATTTAGCCTAGAAAATTCAAAGGCTCCAGGAAGAAAGGGAAAAACAGTAGAGCCATCTTCAACTTTTCAAGGAAGTAAAATTGGACTTGTTCCCTTGAAATGATAACAAGGTAGTGAATATTTTCTGATAGAAAATATTTGGTTGACACCAAAATGCACTACCTCCTGAGACATAGGTCACTATTTCAGGAAATGATGTGCAGTACAGAAGGTGAACCAGGGCAGAGCTCCGGACCAGATCATCTCCAAGGATCCTTCCAGCTCTGAGAGAAATGGTACATAGAGTGAAGCCCATCATGCTAGGACCAGGGTGTGAGAGCAGATAAACACACGCCCAAAGGGATCAAAACTGACATTTCCCCAATGCAGATTTTCTCTGAAACGTACAGTGCTATTCAAAATCAATACACATTCACTGAATTCCTCTAGGAAGACAGAAGTAGCAAGTCTGTGCATTTCCCAGTAGAACTAGATCTGACTTTGCACTGCAACACAAAGCAAAGAAGATGATAGGAACAGAAGAGGTATCTTCAGGGAGGTAAAGGGGACAAGCTGGAGAAGAGGAAGGAGCAGGAGACATTCTCTCTGTACAGCCTTGCATTCTCTTCTCCAACTTAACTCATATCTCCAATTGCTCAAAGAAGAAATATAGTTCTGTTTCTAAGGTTGTCTCTATTAGATCTGAAAATTCTGGACAACTCAGGCCATCAGACAATTTCAACAGCCCCATGGGTTGAGGGGAAAAGAGCTCAACCAGATGGTCAGAAGGYATCACTGCCATCTAAGAGTAACAGGGACTCCTGTTTATTGAGCATCTCCAATGTGCCAGACATTGACATTTCAAGAATAGGTGTTATTTTATAGCTGAAAAAAATTAAGTCTCAAAGAGGTCACAGGTCTTGGCTGAGATGCCAACAATCCAAAACAATCATAGTTCATATTCACTGAGTACTTCCTAGGTGCCAAATAGTATTTTCAAGCAATAAAATGTTTTATCTCATTTATGCCTCCTAACAATCCTAGATAGGTTATCTGTTATCTCCTTTTTACAGATAAGAAGAAATGCCCCCAAAGGGGCTAACCAACGGATTCGCAAAGTCACATAGCTACAAAGCAAAGCATGCTCACACTCTTTGCTCTGTGACACTCTGTCCCTGGGTGATACAAGCAATAACCCAGCTCTACCCTTGGTCAACCAGATAGGGGCCCTCTAGTACATCAGGAAGGACTGAGGCTTTGACCAGTGGCYTGCAGGTCAAGGAAACAGCACCCAGGGTGATCCAGCCATAGAGTCAGCAATGGTCCAGTGGGAAACCACTCACAGCTGACCCAGGGGCCCAARTACAGCTACATTTCTCCACTGTGGAGCAACACATCCTCTGTACCATCCCCAAGACAGCTTTGCTTCCCTTTGTCATCAGGTCCCACTTTGCCCACTGCCTCTTCCTGCCCAAGGAGAATACAGCTCTGTCTGCCCAAGAAAAAATCTGGTTTAAACTCTATATCAATTTTTTTTCCAAATGAATCACAAACTGGGAGCCCCACAGCAAAAGCCAAATTACTCCATTCCCTCCTAGGACACCAAAAAAAAAAAAAAAAGTAAAAAGTGCCTCCCTGGAACAGAGGCAGCGGTTGGCCCAAGCTGGCCAGGACTATTCATCCCTGACACCGTTTGGAACCACTGTCCAGGGTGATAACAAAAAGCCAACCCGCTTTCACTAGACTTCATTATTGCTTCTGAATCCTCTAGATCACCATGCCATTCTTGCCTGCCCTCAGTGGACTGTTCTCACTGGCCTCTGTCCCTTGGCAGGCCACAGACTGGGAGGCYGCACTGTGACTTCTTCGGCCAATGCTTGGGTCAGCAGACTGCCTGCTCCTCAGACACTTCAGTGGCATGCAGTAAACCGCCTGGGCACTTACCAGATCAGAGGGAAAGATTTCACTTTTTAAAGATCAGAGTTCAAATGCCTAACAGACTAAATCAAATGACTACAGGGAAGATAAATTGCGTTTTCCTTTAAGGAGTAAACACTCAACTTTCCCTTACCTGTATCAAGTTGCAACTCTCACTGCTTATATACACAGAAGCATCCCCTGTCTGTAAATCTGTCCATTCACCATATGACTGGCCCAACTCAAAAATAAACATGCAGYTGCCAGCAACCTGCACCCCTAACTCCCTCTCTCCAAGCCTGTGCCATTCCTATCTAGGGATTTTTCTTCCCAGAGAAGGCCAGTCCATTCACTGTGGCCACCAGCTTCCCTAGTTTTGTTTCTAGTGCCTCCCTCAGCTCAGAGAAGCCCTAGCTCCCAGCCAGGGATGAGAAAAACCTCTTAAGGAAGAGCTAAAAGCAACAAGCCCCAGGCCAGCACGGCAGGCCAATGTCCAATTCCAAAGGCTACGCAGGAAGGTTCTGCTTACTTGGACTGGAATTCTTGATCTGCTGTAATGTCCTCAGAACTTTGTGTATGTCTTTCATGCTGGTATCTCTCCGGCTGTATAAAAGAAGCCTCCGAGCGTCTGAGAACAGGCGAGATACACTGTAAAGAGTACAAGAAAAGTGGAAAAGCCCTGGTTAGGCCAGCTGCTGCTTCAAGAAAGTGACTACCATCCACCTGCCCCAGCCTGGCTTCCAGGCCCTCTCCAGGCCAATCCCATCCTCTCCCCTTGCCCAGCCTCACTGACAACCTGTGCTCCCACCCACCATCCCTGCCTCAAGATGCCCTTCCTATGACCCAAATCAACCTCAAAGGCCCAGCCCATCTCTCTCTTTTTCTCTCTCTCTCTCTCATACACACACACACACACACATACACACACACACACACACACACACACACACACACACACACCAACATGCCCCCAGGTGCCCCCAGGGCAGACTTATCTACAAGGCATAGTGAGCCCATGATAACCTTAAAGGCCCATGAAAATGGTTTCACTTTTTATAAAAATCAAAATTTAAAATAAATATAATCAGAAAGCACATTTGGTGAATGAATCTACCCTGGATTATATTTGCTCTTATGCCAACAGTCATAAAATGTAATTTTTAATATTTTTTTTCACAGAAGAAAGGGCCCGTGAAGGCCCCAAATCCTGTGGTCCATGAACTTTATAATGTGGCTCTGCCTGCCCCAGCTGCCGCTCCCTCAGAATTGTCTTCAAGTGGGTCCTTARCACACTCTAACTCATGTCAAGGTTCCAGATATCTCAAGAATCTTCAATGGCTCATTTGTTAGATGCTTTATTAATTTCATACTTATGTCCACATTGAAGCCAGGAGGCASGAATACAAACCCAAGGTAGAATCCTGGGCTCAGGATCTCCCACCCARGAGAGAAAGACCTGCAGACATGTGACACTGAGGACTGAGACGCAGTGAAAGAGGTAAGAGCACGGATCTGAGAACATAGAAAAGGGCTCTGCCAGTCTGGATCTGAAGCTCCTTGGAGGTCACAACCCATCCAGGGTGCACCTTGGTCCCTGCCCCTGCACCCTAAATCTAGAACCAGCCATTTGAGATGTGCAGTAAATACTGCTGAATGAGGCAGATTAACTAYGAGATGGAGCCAGTGCACTGTGTGTCCCTTCACTACTTACCAGTCTTTGTGCAGAAGAACAGCCTCCAACCAGACAGCTTAGGTTACGTATTACTGTTACTCCAAAAAGACATCAAAGTAAGGTCCCACAGTCTTAAATCCTGGCAGTGAGCTTCCCTTCCCTCATTCTGCAGACTTTTCCACACAAACCTTTACAGAAGCAACTTTGCTCAAATCCAGCCATTCATAACTCTCCAGAGAGCAAGAAGGGAAGGATAAGTATTCACTGACAAGTCTGAGAAAGAAAACCTGATCCGGTACTTACATGGACTTGTTAAAGTTTCCAACAACCCCTGGAGCCTCACCAGGGGTTGGATAACGGAAACAGGGGTTGTTGGCATTACAGATAATCCCCTGAACCCAAGGAAGTGTTCCTGCAGAGGGCATGGCTTTATTTGGAAAGTGACCTGTTGAAATCAAGGAGAAGAAAAAACACACAGAGAAATATTAATTCCTTGAAGCCATTTTGAGACTCCCCCCCCACCCAATGCTTTGTCCCATATTCTGTGTGTCCCATTCCCCTCATCCCAGAGACCTGCCTCCTCTGGATTAATCTGACCCTGAGCTGGAAACCTGGTATCAGATAATGGTTCTTAATCTGCATGGCATGTCTGTAGAGTGGGATTCACAACATCAGCCTTGGAGAAGTAATGAGACCATGCACAGGAAGTGCCGGCCAAGTAGCAAGTGTTTTGCCACCATTTGTTCACCTTGGACCACCAGATGGGTCTTGGGGATGACCTAGTCCAATTTCTTTACACTCTGAGAGGAAGTTATAGCAAGACCRACAGCTAATGAAGAACCCTCAAGGAGCACAACTAGGAGCGGAACCTGCWTCTCCATGATCCCAGTCCCAGCCCCCGCCTCACACTGTAATCTACTCCACAGTTCCCTCTGGTACTCTCCTTGGTTGCCAGATGTCTGTCAGTTTGCTCCTCTGCCAGCTCCAAAGCTTCTCAAGGGCACCTCGAAAACATGCTGACTTGGGGGCAGATGTCATCCATGAAGCTACTTTYGTTTTGCTGCTATTGTTTTGTCACTTGTCAAAATAAGGAAGCCCCATCCACCAGGTGAGCTCCTCACCTGCCTCTCCCCTCATCGTGGGAGCTTCTTACAAACAGGATGAATGGGCCTGTCTGGGCTGGCTCCCAGGCCTTGAAGGCCCAGGTTGGCATGTGGCAGTCACCCACGGGTACTGCTTATGGGGATCAAGATAAATGTGCCCTGGATCAGGGGCTCTTAACCCAAGGGCCWATTTATGTTTGAACAAAAAGGCCAGGGCTGCAGCTTTCCTCAGATTCTCAGGATTAACTGTGACCCTCAAAGAGTTGGCAGCCATTAAGAACCACAGCTTTAGGTAGTGAAGAGCTTGTAGTTTCACAGACTTCTGGGTCAGACCAACTGGGCTTCACATTGGGTCCCTGCAACTTGCTAAGCAACAACTTTGGTCAAGTCCCTGACAGACCCCCTAATCTTCTGTTTTCTCATCTGTAAAATGGTGATAAAAATACACGTGCTAAGTATTATATGAGCTCTTCTAGGTAGAGCACTTTYGCAAAGTGCCTAGCACAGAACAAAAGCTCAACGAATAGGTCCATGCGGACTCTGGAGGCCCTGTGGTGTGAGCCTGCAGTAGTAGTTCCTCTGCTGTTGCCCAGCCAGAATACTCCTTCAGTCTCACAGCTACCTTCTTCCTCCAAAGTGGGACCCTCATTTTATTCATCCTTCTATTTTCATGCAAATGGGCTAACAGAGCCTCCCCAGAAGTTAACCCAAAGCCAGAGCTTGCTGTACTTGGCATGTCCGAATCAGGGGCCTTCTATCTTTCTTCTCTCCATACTCCAACCAGAGACAACATCCAAAGCAAGGATCCAATCCCTGCAGTCACTCTCTGCAGGGACTCTGGCCTGTKGAACATTTACTTAGTTAATCTCTTTATCTCCCTGTTAACAGTTCAAGGAAAACCAAACAAAGCCCCTTGCCTAAGTCAGCTGCTCCTCATTCAGAGATTTATGTAATCCAGTCAAATACTCCAAGGACCCAGGGATTCTCCCCTTTCAACTCCGGAAGATACTGGAACTAAGAACAGATAGGTTCAGCCAAAGGCAGCACAGGGCCCTGAGGTATTTGGGGATGTCCTTCCGCAGGGGAAGCAAAGRCCCCTTTCTGGCATGTTGTCTTCTATTTCATTTGCAAACAAAGCAAGATGAGGACTAGGCACTGAGTGCACAGGATGACAGCCTAAGGGACTCTTAGGGCCCAGGGAAGTTAATGGGACCTTGATGACTAGGGCTGAACCGAGGTTTATGGGGAAGAAGTGTATCACCAGCCCTTTGTTCCCAAAGAAGGAGTCTTCTCAGGAGAATGAGAAGCCCAGTGTCCTAGGCTCCCCTAGTAAGTAACCCAAGCACTCTCCTCCCACTGCAAAGAAAAGACACCTCCATGCACTTCACCTTAGCTTTCAACCTGCCCTTCTAWCTAGGTCCCTAGGAAGGTAGTGAGAACAGGAAGGACATGGATGGATGGGCAAAGTCTCATCTGTCTTCCATATGTTCAAGAATTTCACAGATTTCCAAAATTCTCTGGTCTGGGGTCAGAGGGCCTTGGGTCAGAATTCAACAACTTACTCAAGATTACAACCCCCACTGCACAGCAGRGGCAGCACCCACACAAACCCCCATTTGTCAGGTGCCAAAGTCTGTGCCAGTTCCTTTACTCTACCTTCCCTCTTCGCGATCATTCCAGAAAGAGAACTGCCCAGGGGATGAAAATGCTGAGCGCGCCCTGAAACATACTTCTGTGGGGCTCAGGGTAATGTTTAAATAAAATCAAATATCCATTTGCTAATCAATCAACCTCTCTTTGAGATTGTAAAAGCGAAAGCAGAATTACCTCACAGGCCCATAAATTGAGTATAGATTTCATTAGATGTTCCATTCCTTTCTGGTGAAGTAAGAAAATCATGCCTGAGGGAAAGTTCTTCAGTTGTGTGTGTGAGTGTGTGAGTGTGTGTGTGTGTGTGTGTGTGTGTGTGTGTGTGTGTAACTTGAATATGTATGATGGTGTATTAGCAAATTAGCATGTAAATAACTTCTGCTCTGTGCTGTGAGAGATGAGGCCAGACCAAGAGACAAAATTAAAAGTAGCCTTGGCCTCCACAGCTTTCCTAGGAGGACAGAGTCCTATAAATTTAGRGTCTGGTGGGAGATATAGATACAGTTGGCTAGTGGCAGGAAAAGTCCCTGGAACCGTGAAGCTGAGGTCTCAGCTAAACGCCTACATAAATGTCGGTCCTTTAGATTTGGACTGCTCTGCCATGTCAATCTACCCATTGAGCCATGCCACAGAGAAAGACTATGGCTGTGGGGTGACGACCCAGACAACAATAATATGACAGGGGTATTATTATTCCCTCCTTTACAAGAAAGTAAAGTTACTTGCCCACCATGTAAGCCTAGTGAATGCTGTGCCAGGATTCAAACCCAGAAAACCGTGCATTTTTCATCACTTCTCACTGTAAAGGACTGTTCTTCAAAACACATGACTGAGAGACAATCTGAACTGATTCCACCTCTATCCTTATTACCAAGTCCCTGCACCTGTGTGAGCCCTAATTTTCTCAGCAAGAAATTAAAACAAATGATAATAAAGTCTAGGAGGTTGTGACTGAATCAAATGAAATAATATCAGTCAAATAATATCAGTCAGATGTTCTGCACAAAGGCTGCTTAAAATATATGTTCTATAATTTTAACTGCAAGTTTAAGACATTCATACAGTGGTAAAGACCAGCAGGACCAAAGAGAGCAGTGCCTTAAGGGTGCTTTTTGGTGGGCACTGTCTGAATTCTATTTAAAGTAAAGTTACTTTATTTTCATGATTTAAAAATGTATGAAACAGATGGTAGCYATTGTTGTCATTACTCTTATCACTATTCACTAGGGATCAAAATCAAACTATTAGAAGACTAGAKGTTCTGTGCCAAGCTATTTGTGTTGTTTCCTAGAGTCTTTGGGAAAGGTAAACTCAGCCCATGTTTATTGCCTGAATTTTGCATGGGAGAAGTGAGTCTCAGGCATGACCCACAGRTACTCACATTCATGTTGTTCATAGGGTGGGTAGCTCAGTCGAACAGAGATTAGGATCAGGAAGATAAACAGAGGCCAGGCCACTTCCAGCARGAGCTGACACTGAGTAGGAAATAAGACAGAGCAATGTGAATTCAAAAAGTAGTATGATACCCAACACCACTGGGTTCTGAAAAATCCACAGAGAAATTCATTAACAATTGACCATCTTCTGCAGCCTCTCCTTCCATGAGCTTTAATAACACTGAACTGTCTGCAGGTCTCACCTTGTAACATTCCATTCCACACCTTTGTGCATGTCTTAAGTCAAGAAAGATGCTTCCCTGCCAGCTTCATCAAGCTCACTTCTTCTTAGTCTTCAAGACTCAACCATGGAGTCCTTTACTAATTCTCAGTTTGAGAAGCCCAGTCTCCTGGGCTCCCCCAGTAATYCAGGCACACTCCTCCCAGTGCATCTCCATGAGCCCTTGAAGTCACCTGTTTGCATCACTGGCTTCCCCACCATAGCCTTAACATCACACTGGGAACATTTTCCATTGCAGAAAATATTCTCTTAAAATATGGCTCTTAATGGCCACTTCATATTTCCATTCTATGACAAGATCATAATTTAACCTTCCTGCTACTGCTGGTACTTCAGAGTGTTTAATGRAGGGTTTGTTTTGTTGATTATTTGTTGTTGGATTTTTTTTTTGCTGTTTCAAATAATTGACTTTTAATTTCCCAAGAACTTTGATATGGTTTCCATTAAACTCATCATCAAATCTTCTTTGGGGAAGGAAATACAAGATAATAACCATGTATGTTCTAGGGTGATAAGAACACGTGTGACTTTTTWAAAAAATGCCTTCTTATGTGTTCTAAAATTTCCACAATAAGCCTGTATTAATTCTCTAATCAAAAAAAAAAACCACTMTCACCATAAAACTATAAAGGGGAGTGGATCCATCTCTGGAAGAAAACATATTGATTATTGGGTTACCAAGACAAAGATGGGGCTGTTCTTGCTAAATATTTCTATAAATAATCCCCAAAAGACAAAACACACTGAAATGTCCAAGCTTGCAAATGACATTCAGCTTCTTCCCTTTTATTTCATACTAATTTTTATTAATGTCTCTTTATTTCATACTAATTCTTAAGTCAATATATATGTATATCACAATATCACATTGCCCYCCTTAAATATATACAACTTTCATCTGTCAATTACACCTCAATAAAGCTGGAGGGAATAAAGAAAACTATTTTCTTTCTGCCAGAACAAAGCCGTGACACTCAAAATAAACGTCTCTACCCACTGAGCTGGAAGTCCCTCCTCTGGATGGTACTCAGATCCCCAGGTACTCTGTGCCTTTATCAGCTCTTGGCATAGTAGGGCTATAGTCATATAGGAGMTTCTACTCCAGTGTCCCTTGCTGCTCACTAAGTCTGCCACATGTTAAAGGCTTAAAAGTGTTTCTTGGGTGAGAGAATGAACTGAAGTTTATAAAATAATGAAGATGAAAACATAAATCAAGTGGGACCTTTGGGAAAGCAATGTGGCAATATGTATTTAAAAGTTATGTTTATCCCCTTTGACCAAATAATATTCCTGGGAATTCATTCTAGGGAACTAAATTTAAAATGCCAAAAAGCTATATCCATCAAGTTATTCATTGAAACATTATAATTGCAAAATATTGGAAACAACTTAATTGCACAGCAATAGGGAAATGATTAAATTATGGTACATCTAGTTGGCAATGGATTATGCAGTCATTATAACAATGTTTATGAAACACAGATACCATTAACCAAAAATAAAATTTAAAGAAAAGGACACAAAATCATAAGCATTCCAAGCTCACAGCTAAATAAAAGCACTTACAAATATTAACAAAGACAGGAATGAAACTTTTAAAAAATGATCAGACGAAAATGAATTCAGAAAAGAATAATGAACCTTGAAGAAAATAAAAGTAAAGAGAGTATGCATAAGATAAATAGTCATCAACCCTGAAGCTCTGAAGCTACCATTTGCACTGGTAGGATAAACAGTAGCTACTATTCACTTAGAGTCTAATATGTACTGGGCATATTTTCTATGGCTTATTTCATTTAATCCTCAGAACAACCCTAGGAGGTAGGAACCATTACTGTCCTCACTTTATACATGAAAAGGCTAAGGCTCAAGGACAGTGAATCACAGAGCCTGTGAGCAACAGGGCTGAGATTAGTGGCCAGTTCTGTCCCATCTCTAGGACACATCGAATCCTATTTGATACTGCAGGAGTCTCAGGCAGGAAATGGCCCCACTAGGTGGCACGGACTAAAAACAGCAGCAGGTTCCATAGACACAAGATGAACTCACAGCTTGCAGATTTATAAAAGGTACAGCCAATACTGAGCACCTACTGTGCACTCAGGGATTTTTGTACATTTCATCTCCAATATTTAATCTATAACAAGACTGAGGGGTAGATTGTAACATTTCTATTTAAAAGTGAAAAATTAAGGTTCAGATAAACCACGAGTTAAAGCCTGAAAATAGACTGCACCAACGTTTGAACTCAGATCTACTGACCCCTAAATTTCTGCTCTGGTCATGCTGTCATGCTGCCTCTCACTGAACAATGTCKGGGACATATCCATTTTAAGATCTGCCCCTTAAGTGGAACCCTGTACTTGCCAGCCCTGCTGAGAACTGATCTGACCCAATGAATCAGGCCTTATGTTTCTGGACATCTCTACAGATCCACATCTAGAACCCTGTAGAGCAGCAGATGCTCAAAATATGTTGGTTACTTGAAAAAAAATGAATGGATCTTCCCCCATGATACTGGTAGCAAAAGGCACAAGCAAAATCGTACAAACCACTGTTAGCAGCTGAAGCTAGCATGGGTAAGCAGACCAGGGAAAGAAGTCACATTGAAGATAGCAGTAATAATAGCTAATACTTAAAATAGGTCTTTCTATGTACCAATATGCTAAATGCTTTGCAAATATTGACTCATTTAGCCTTCAAACAACTCAATTAGTAGTAGTATTATAATACCCACTTTATAGATGAGGAAACTGAGGGTCAAGAAGTTAATGAATTGCCCAAGAGTACAAGATTAGTAAATAGCAGAGCTGATATTCAAAGTCAATTGAGTCCCTGCTCATAGCCACTATCACATCAACCTCCTTAGGCCCTCTGCCCTCCTATGGCCAGAATATGTAGACCCCTGATCTTTCAAAGCCCCTACTAAGCAGAGACACTAACATGTACTGATGAGTGAAGACATCATCACCAATATTCACACCACCCAAATGAGGGAACTCATGAGACAAAATGTAATCATGTCCCTCTCTCCTATACCTCCAAAAAACACTTTTACCATTGAAAATAGAACTCACCTTCCAAGATCAGGGGGATGTTCTAGGTATTTCTTTTCCTAATAGCCTCACTCTAGAGGGAAGGGCTGCTTCCGAAACGCAGTTCTTGCTCCACTCATCAAAATCAGATTTCTCCCCCATCACTACGCTTAGTACTTTTATTAAGCACAGGCTCTCAGAAATAACTTATAAATTAAAGCTGACCCTTTACCATAATACACTTCTATAGAAAACTTAAGTCTTGCTTTGGTACACCACCAAACTTCACACCTCCCCACCATGGCGTTGGGAAGATGAGGAACATTGCTTCCAAAAAAGTGTTTTTCACCAAAGTCTAAGAYGCTCTGGGGAGAGCCAGAGCACTACTGTGTACTTCCCATTGATATTCCTCATCATCATGTGGGCCTGATTTCTCAACAGTGGTGCCATCAACATTTTGAGCCTGATAACTGTGTGGGAGACTCTCCTACTAACTGTAGAGTGTTTAGCAGAATCCCTGGCCTCCACCTATTCATACCAGCAGCACACACATGCCCAGGATTGTGCCAACCAAAAACTTCTCCAGACACTACCAAAAGGCCCCAGGGTGGGGGAGGGGGATTGCCCCTAGATAAGAATCACTGCTCTAAAGTAACTGTGAAAATTAAATATCATTTCCTGTAAAGGACTGAGGACACAGTCCAGCTGGTCATGGCTATTATGATCATCATGTTATTCAATATGCATCAAGCCATTTGTRAATCCTCATTCAGAACTGTGCCAAGACCTCACTCACTATGCATGTTCACTGTTCCCTGAGTGTTCATTGCTGCTAGTTGCAGAAGTTCATATACCACAATMCAGTCACTCTGCGAAAGCATTTAGCCACCTAGCCTGAGGACGGTCATGGAACTCCTGAATTCTCAAGATTTATGCATATTAATTCAAAGTTGGGCACAGCAAGGACCATGTTTAAAGAACACAGAAACCAGTGAAATAAAGTTCGGCCTTAGGCAAAGGTCTCTTGAATAATGGAAGCCCAAAAAATTCCCTTCATACTGAAAAAAGAAATCACTGTTTCTTAGTACTGAGTTAAAAAATGCTTGAGATTTCAATGGGGCATGAAACAAGAAACAAAAAGAATATACATCAGAGATGCAGAGATGAAAATTTCCTTTCCATTTACAGCATGGTCACAAATCTAGGAAAGCCCACAAAATCGAATAAAAAGCTGAAATTGAAACTGAATTGAAAATAGGGGTAAATTAATCAGAACCAAGGTAAATCTAAATAATGGTATTGCTAGAGGCCTGTGATAATCAGCTAAATTAGTAATATGTAAAAGGAGAAAAAAATTACTATTCACAGTAAGAACAGACACATAAACAGAAAAGTTAGATATTCTCTTAATGTTAAATATCCCTGAACTTTGGTGAGGTAAGTAAAGGAAGATGGGAATTAATGAGAGTTAAGCCATGCTTCTTGGTGGGAACATTTAATATCCAAATTTTCCAAACCAATTTATAGATTTAACATAATTTCACTTGAAATAGTGATAGATACTTTTTAGAACTTCATATGGAAATAAGATTCAATGAGAAAAAAAAATGGATGAAAACAACAAAGGATATCCTAAGAGGTCAAATCAAAGGAACATATAACACAAGCTCCCCCAGGAATCAGAATGGTCACCAAAGTAAGGACACTYCTGGGGCTATATTAACACACAGGTAACAACACCTGTCAACCAAACAAAAAACTCC